AGGGGATTTTCACTGCTATTCAATGTTTTCAAAGAAGGATCAGTCTGAACTGAGAGTACAGGTATTGGAGGAATTGTAATTGTTGGGTGGGGGAGGGGTTGTCTTGTTTGCAATGGCTTTAAAGGCTCTTACTCTTATGGGTTTATAATAGGAATATCGACTGCAAGTGTACATTAGTGTACATGCTTTACTGATTGCAATGGCTTTGGGGCCATGAATGTTGATTTCTATTGACAGTTTATATCTTCTTGAATTGCTGCATTACTTCAGGGAATCTCTGCTTAGTTTTCAAAAAGGGGATGGGAGTAGAGGTCAGTCTCATCTATGTATGGGGTAAGTTAAGTTAAGAGAAGGCCCATGCATTCAAAATCGAGTAGCAACTAAAACCTCTGCCTCTCCAGTCCTAGCCCGGCACTTTGTTACATATCATAGTGATGTTCATATATACAGTACATATCATATACAACAATGGATTCATGTAAATAATTTGGGGTGGGTGGGTGAATTCCTAAGCATTCTGAGAAAATTAAAGATTGTAAGTGTTCATAATTTTCCATGCACCCCCCCCCCCAATCAGTGATGATCCCTTACTTTCAAAGATACTTTCACTATCTGTGAAGCTTCTCATAGGTTAGCAGGCCACTGAGTGGCATAAGTGTTCAAAGAATGGGATATGAAAACAACAAGGTCCTCAGGCAACTTGTTCCTTTTTGTCACAGAGGCATTTGGTGGCTCAGAGCAGTGTTTTTCAACCTCAGCAACTTTAAGATGTGTGGACTTCAGCTCCCAGAATTTCCCAACCAGAGTTAAAGTCCACACATCTTAAAGTTGCTGGGGTTGAAAAACATGGACTTAGAGTATGCTACATCCTTTTGATCTCAGTTTGCAAAATGAAAAGAATACAGCCAAATCCAGAGAGCTGCTATTTAAGAGATTGACTAGTTCATATATCACTTTTACGTTTCAAGTCATAATTTACAAAATATTATAGTTGGAAGGGACCTTGGATTTCTTGAATTAGTCACAATTTGGCTGATTTTGCAATATGCTAATTTTAGATGATGTATACAAATAACAGTGGCTTAGTATATTGTGTGAACCCAGAAACTAATTCATAAAATGTAATTAACAAAGATTTTTCAAATTTAGGATTGACCTCTCACATTTTAAGTACACACATTCTATCTGCCTGATTATCTTTCTGGCCTTCTTAAATTCCCTTTCCCCATTTTTTTTTAAAATCTTATTTGGAACAACAAATTTAAAATTGTGACACGACATGCTTGTAAGTCTCACCGTGCTAATTAAAGAACAGTGACATAAAATATTAGAAATAAAAACAGTTCTCGTCCTGGAGAAAATCTTATTTTAAAACAACACAACTTATTGGCATTAAGAACTGACCCAGAATGCAGAGCAGCGTGGTTGCTAATTTCACAACACTTTTGGAGTGAATTCGCTGTCGTGCATTGATCTGATTTAATTGCCCAGTTAAAACAGTACAGTGTTCAAGAACATTTAATGACATTAACGGCTCCACTCTGACTATGGTTTATTGTTTAGAAATAATTTCCTGGAGTACACAGCTTGCTTAGGGAGGAACTATTTTTTGAGGCCCATGTCTTAAGTCAAAAAGAGAGGACGCTCTTGAAGCAAGACAACCCTGCAGGAGCCTGGCAGTGACAGGGGCAGGAGACAGGTGTTTCAGAGGTGATGCAGCTGCCAATCCTGGAAGGCTCATTTCTGGCCAACACCTTTCTCATGCAAAAGGAGAGTGCTTTCTTGCTTCTTCCATTTGTAAGGTGGTTCCATTCTTGTTTGTAGATGAATGATGTTATTGTCAAGGAGAAAGGATTGAACCATAAGCAAGATACTCAGGGAACCTCCATGCCCCTTGGACAAAAAGGTTGGCTCCTGCCAGCATAGGATTATGTATCTCATTCTCTCCCTGTCTGCCAGTTTTCTGCTCTGCCTTGGCTCAGCAAATTACAGTAATAGTAAAACCATTTGAAAGCATCGGAAGAGTAGATAGAGGAAGAGGAGCTTTGCACTGAGGTAGACACTGGTAACGAGGCTCAGTTGGGCTTGGGTTTTTCCTTCAGAAAGGGCAAGTTTTATTCTATAGACTTTTCATCAGTCTGTTTTAAATCAGTGGTTGAGTGTTTGACGTAATAACTGCTCTCATAACAGCCGCAAAATCCATTTTTAACAAGAGAGGAGTTAAGAGCAGAAGGAGTTTTATCAGGAAAATGACCCACACATCCTTTAAGATTAACTTCATTTAATACAGATTAACTTTAAGATTAACTTCATTTAATACAACTTTTTCTAGAACCATTCCTGCAGTTAGCTGTGAAATGTGAATATTAAATTCTTGTCTCCTCAAAGACCGTGCTCCATATGCGAAGTTCCAAGTGCCTTACTAGAGGGCTTAGTTTCCTTTTGATCAGACATATGTTACAATTATAATTATTTGTCTTATTTGAAATGTACCAGCAGACATTACAAAACAGAAAACAATCTCTCTTTTGTTACAGGCCCCAAGTATTTGGGGAGAAGATCTATTGTCAAACCTTCTTTAGAATTCAGATCAGAGATCTAGTCATAGAATTCTATAACTCATTTAATTCATATCTCTCTCTCTCTCTCTCTCTCTCTCTCTCTCTCTCTCTCTCTCACACACACACACACACACACAGAGAGAGAGAGAGAGAGAGAGAGAGAGAGAGAGAGAGAGAGAGAGAGAGGCAGAGAAGCTTAGAAACTGCATACTAGCAAAATGAACATAGCTATAACCAGAACATTCCCTCATGCCAAAGTTGTTATAAATAGAAGGTCCAGACCCTTGACATTTGACTGATTATCCTTCCCCAATTTGTCCTATATGTGTTTGGACATCAGTTCCCCTCAATTTTAGCTCATGTGGGCATAATTGGAGGTATAACATTTTAGCACATCCAGAGGACATCAAATGGAGGGAGGCTGTTTTTTCATGCATAGCAAAGTTTTTTTGCAATGTTGTGTTCTAACTACAATTTAGTGGTGGCACATAGGTGGCATCTCTGTCTCTTCTCTCCCAAATCCTCCCAATGAGCGATATGTAGTTGGTGGAAGAATACCAGAACACCAGCAGGTAAGATCAGAAAATGGGCCTGCCACCAATTTTATAAGACCAAGTAATTAAAGAAGTACAATTGGAGGGCAAGGGAATGCTTAAGGGAAATCATGCATCTTTGTTTTGAATAAAGACAGTCCCTCAGGCAATGCTCTCACTTCGATGTGCAGTGAAACAGAACAGATGAAAATTGGAAAAACACAAAGCACCTTTAGAAACCAGAAAAGAAGGCAACCTGGGTAAAGGTGAAGGTTAAATACATCCGTTGTAAATATTTCCAGGAACAGAAGAGTTTGCATTATTGGATGTCATCATTGTTAATGGAATATTATTTAAGAAATTTTGGTCTGACTGTCAGAGTTCCTTCTTTCATAATTTAGTTAATGTATAAAATATGGGTGAAGTAGAAAAAAATAGGGTCTAGTACTTCAATCAAAATAGAGCAATTCTTAGATGTGAAAGTGTAGCATAAGTTTATCCATATTAATAAGGAAATTACGCAAGCATTATAATGTCTGAGGTCTGGTGGCTGTGATCTCATTATCTTCATTTGAATGAGCCCCTTTGGACAAAATAGATTGAAATGCTATTTTGGGGACAGTGCTACTAAATTATTGTTTATGTTCCAGCCCATTGGCTCCCTAAAACTCTTAACTTGAAATTGCAGCTGCCTATCTAAGGGTAAATGAGAAAACACTGGGTTAAGCTGCATATATTTAAGTGCTATGATTATATAGATTACTTTTCTGACCATGATATATTTATATATGAATATTATACCTGAGCCTAATTTAAGATAACTCTGCACCATCCTTGTTGAAAGTCTCATTGTGGCAGTTCTTTGGGTCATTCTCTTAGTACAGTATCACAAGACTTTCTTGTTTTGCTGCAATAGGTGTACATAATTAGTTCCCTGGATTTAGCATTTTTCATTGAGTATGTGCCACCCAGTCCTTATTAATTCTTAATAACTACATAGCCAGACTTTCTCCATGACAATGTGTCCCCAACCTAGTCCTTCAGATCTTCCAATGGTGAACCCATCATTACTGTAATAGAATATATCCACTTTACTGTTCTACTGTTCCCTCCCTCCCTCCCTCCCTCCCTCCCTCCCTCCCTCTCTCCCTAGAGAGCTAAGTCTTCAATAATAATTTGAACCTGATCATTTATGTCCAAGGGATCCCTCTGGATTGATTTGTTTACTAATCCATTTGTTTGTTTTCTTGGCTGTTTCTGGTATTATCAGTAGTCTTCTCCAACACCAAAGTTCAAAAGTGTTCAATATTCTTTCTATCCTGCTTTAACTTTCGTTTCCATAGAAGATCACAGGAAGTATCATTGCTTGCATTAGACTGATTTTTATAGACTTAAACTCTTCATGCCATCTGACTATCTTTTTCAAGGTTTTAAGACTGCTCTACCAAATGTTGGTGTGCTGTTTGTTTTTTGACTGCTTGTTTCTTTCCTGCTGATGGTTAATCCTGAAAGGCAAAAGTTATCCATCACTTTGATATCTTCATTGCCAATTCTACGAAAGAAAAAAGACAGTTGCTGTTGGTTTTGGAGTTGAATCTTAAGCAAAAAGTATAAAATTAAAACCAGTTCCTAGACATGCACCAATAGGCAGGCAAAATGATGTTCTGTTGTGTTTAATGACTTCCAATTTTGCTTCTTCATGGAAGGGCTGCTCTGCCAGATCAGCAACCATCAGAGCTGGGTTCAGAAATAAAATATTTCAAATGCTAATCTGATCCCAACTATATTTCCCCTGCTTGTAGTATTCATCTCTGATGGAAACTTAACTGAGCTTTGCTCTAAATGTCTGAAATCCCATCAGATATAAGGTATAAGCTTCTTTCTTTTTCTTTTTTTTTCTTTGCAGAAGCCAAAGGACACTTTGGACCCCAACGGGTGCAGCCGTTCTTATACCTCCTCCAGCATGCTGGGCTCTGATTTACGTCGGGGACGGAGACGCCTCTCCTCCAGCTTGCAGGTCCCTCCACGGAAACCCATAGACAGAGCACGCTCCCCAGAGCCAGACAATGTCCAGAGGCCAACCACTCTGCCACTCCGCATCCCTCCCCGAATTTCTATCACCCATGCTGACCCAAACAGGTAAGACAAGGGGAAGAAAGGCAATGAAGCCGGGGCAGAATGTCAACAGGAAGGTGAACATATCAATAACAGGCCACCTGGAAGACAGAGAAAAGTGTTAGCTTTGCAAATAGGAGAAAGCTATGGGAGGAACCGTGTAAGGGGAGAAACAGTGTACAACGAACAAGAAAGCTGATTTTTTTTTTTCATCGTGTCAAATTTGTAACCACATTCTGGTGTTCATGTGATCCTCGGTGTCTATAAATGGCTGTGAGAGGGGCATGTGAATGAGAGATTAAAAGGCATGTTATGTTAGAAATGTTGACCTCTGGCTTGTTCGTGGTAAGTTTGGTAATAAGGACTCAAGATGTTTTGGCTAAGAGTCTACTGCACATCAGTAGATTTAATCTAAGTACAGCTAAGGTAGGACCTGGGATGTAAGATTGCCATGATTTTCAATATCAGTAGTGACTCATGCTTGCACAGGAGAAGTCCTCTAGGTTGCTTCCTCCTTTTGAGCTAAACTGTCCATCACAGAAAGAAAGACGGGGGACCTTCTGAGGACAGGACTGAGGAGTTTGGAGAAAGAGCCAGGAGAAGTTGTGGAGTTGCAGGAGAAATACTTTGTTTCTGGGAGAAATACAAGGCATTAGGGCACTATCACCCATGTCTTGGGAATGAGATTGGGGAGGGATGTTTTAAATGCGTTGTGCATATTTTAGAGTTTACCCTTGCTATGTTTCTCTACCTGAAAATGATAGAAAATTGTGTTTTCAGTTGTCAGCAATTGTGGCCAAAGGGGGGGTCTGCAGAAAAAAAAGAACAGGGAAGACAAGCTGCCACTCCCGTTGTGTCTTTCTCTGTGAGACTGTAGTGGCTGTCATGGCTGCAAGAGCTCCTCCTTGGGCTGTTATGCTGCTTCCTTTACAAGATAATAAAGGTAATAGAAGTTGTGATCCTTTTTAGCCAAAGTCAAGTTCAAAATCATTTCCATGGTCAGGCACTATTAGTTTCCCCTGTCCACCATGAGTGTTGCACATGGCAGGTTTTTTTAAATTCATAAACATATTTCCATTTTGTAACTATTTTCCCTGGATTATTATTCAGGATCCACTGAAGTGCAGACATGAATCTTGCATCAACATAAATCTTTGAACAGGTAGAGATTGCCTGCAAGAAAGTAACTGCAGGGCATCCTACCTTTTCCCAGCTGTGCTGTTTCTTGCCATCATTATAAATGTAGATAGATTTCATCATTATAAATGTAGATAGATTTGCACAAATATTTTTACAGTAACTGCCATCTGCTAATAAATTAAAATAAATAAAATAATCTGTCTGATGTTTTAATTTCTAGTTAGGTATAGATTCCTAGTATTCTCAATCTGGCAAGGCACTAGTTTAGATGAGCATAAACCTTCAGCTTCCAACTCTTTTACAAGTATCTGAAGGCAATAATATACAATTTTTAATATATTTTCAGGCAGAAAAGGCCTATGGATGTTATTTATTTGCGAAAGAGAGATTTCTGTCCCACCCCTCCAAATATATGCATCATTTCAGACTGCTTGCAAGTTTAAAACCCATACATTTTTTTTAAAAAAAATGATTACATTATAGTGCTGAACACACACAAACTATACAAATCTCTCATTATTTTAGGGAACATACAGGGTGATATGGCAGGAGGCAGTCCCTGAGATGTCTTGAATCTCAGCCTTTTCAGTGTGAAGATCAACAGTAATTCTTGAACTGTGCTTAGAAACAAGAAGTCCAGGACCGGGGTAATATGAACATTATATTATTAGTATTTAATAAATGTTCTAATTATAAGCCATAAATGCTGTAGGTGACCTGTTGTTTCTAAGGAACTCTTCTTTCCTGCTCTTTTGGAGGATGCTGGGCTGATTTAAAAACTTCTCAGGGATTATTTTGAATGAATATTAGAAAGGACATACAGGCTTTCCTGGAACTCAGGTCTGCTACCTGTTCATTGCAGTGTTGAATAGTGGTGAGCACGGTCACTGGATGGCTTCCTGCCCTATTCACTTTCTGATCTACATAACTTCCTAATGTTTTGGCCCATATTTTATAAGGCTGCTGGGCCCTGTAATGATGCAAGGCTGAATCTTTGCTTCTATGATCCACATATCGCTTCCTAATATCCAGTAGTGATAACATCCTTTCGCAGGTATAGTGGAAGCCCTCGTCCTGTGCTTAATTTCATGGGTGCAGTTTGGTGTGTTTGGTGGCATTGTTGTAGGATCCTGCCCATTAGGCTCCACTTCCAACTTCCATGGGGCAATGATGCTATCTAATTGGCCAGCTCAATACACTACATGCTTGAAGGAGGGGACATTAGCGTGCTCCAGCAGCTCCAGCAGTCATAGTAATTCTATAGCAGATGCAGGGGAGTGAGATGATGACAAGATTTCCTTGAGAATCCTTGCTCCAAATCGTAAGTATGCAGTCTGGACAGGTTAGGAGCTATTTGGTTTGTATTGATTATGTATGCAATATCACTGACATTTTGGAAGACAAAATGGGGTTGACTGCAACAAGGTGCTTATCTTGCAGTGGGTTGGCAAATACAAATCTCCCAATTTCAATTCAAGATGGGAAGGGATTAAATTGAACATCAGAACTCCAAATGTTAAGCAGAGAACTCGAGTTTTTGATGTACATTTTCTAGCAATCGGAGAATGTTGCTTTCATTTTTCCCATAGTGGAAGGAAACGGGAGCTAAAAAATACTTATATTTACATACCTCAGGGGCCACTGTGACATTCATTTTTTAAACTGTTGTTACATACAGGTGGACTTTAATTTTTAAAGACTGAAACAGATATCTTGTATAGTTATTCCCATTGCATGACATATTTAGTCTCAAAATTTTTGTTTCCTGTTTAATTACTAATTCATTCTCATCCAGCATGTAAAAAAATATTGGTAGAGGGGGGAACTAACTTGTTTCAGCCAGTTGCTAGGGAAAATAGACAGATTGTATGGTTTTCTTATTGTTTTAAAACTGTAAATGTAAGAGAAATAGAGTATTCCTGCAGCGGTTTCTGCTTCTGGTCACATCAAGAATGATTGTTCTCCTCCATTCCAGAAGGGATGGGGTGGAGAGGCTTTAGGTCAGGATGGGAACCTCTCATTTTAGGAACAGGTTGGCACCAGCCCTTTATTCCAGAAGAGCAGACAGAGGGGCTGTCGCATTGGACTCCTTGTGCAATTCGTACCGGCAGTAGCCAATCTCAATCTCATTAGAGCTCCAAGTAGTTTATTGAGAAGGAACTTATTTGGAGAGAAGGAGAGCACCACGTTCTTCAACATGGGTATGGTCAAAGTCAGGATTTTTTTCTGGGTAATCCATCAACGGCTCTTATAGGCAGACATTCAGACCAATTAAATGTGAGCTAGATTAAATATCTAATAGTTTGAGCCCGTGTGCATTCATCTTTGAGTGTGGCATGATGATGCAGCCGTACATTTACTCCAAACATACTTCAGTTTGTTGAAGCACGTATTTATCTCTTCTTCCTCTTATCATTATACATGTATCAGAGCCTTACAGTTAATCCAGGGGGATTTGTGATGAAATTGGGCTCTGAAGTTCCCAAGCACACTATCTGGATAAAGTGGCTTATTCAGATCAGAAATATAAATTTCCTTCTCATGGAAATCCTCTTTAAAACCACCTTCATCTCCTTAACCAACTTCTCCTCCTTTTCAACCCACCTGCAAGAGGGGCTAGCATAATCCCACTGATGTTTTCCCAGTACTGTAGATAATCTCCCTGCTTGCCACCTTCCTGGCAACTCGGAACAGAGGCCAGAAGACTTACAGGAAAGTCAGATCAGTTCCAAGAACTTCACATTATGTCTAAATTACAGACCATTCTTCAACTTCTCAAGTATACATTGATTTCTGTGAATTGAAATTGCAGTGCAGCAAGGAAGGCAACATTTTCTGAAGCTCATTTCTGTCTATGTCTGTTGATTATTTCTGTATTAGTATGGAAAATAGTATGAAACACTGCACTTTCAACTATATAAATGTAGCGTGTATTAGTAATGACACTTGGCATATATATCACATTGTAAAATAATCAGACAATGTGTAAATTCAGGTATTTATGGAACACCTGAAACCCCCACTCCCATTCCATTTTCATATCTACTTTTAAATACTGACTGTGGCTTTTCTGTTAAGGAAAAACATCATGTTCCATAGAAAATTGCACTGCAATAATGGTGCTGGTCACTTACAATATTCAGTACAAATCATTTAGGAATATTTATTGAAAGTTATCCTGAGTTATGAATGAGGGAGTCCCTGCTTTAAACTTGCTCTTTCTTTTTTTTTTTTTTTTTATTGAAAGTTTTATAGATTTTACAAAAAGACAAAAACAATACAAAACAAAAGACAACATATACAAAAAAAACCTAAACATTACATATATATATATAAAAAAAAAAACCCCATCCCCCACCCCTCACAAAAACCCTCCCTTCCCCCCCCCTGAGCTTCCCAGAGCAGAATATAGGCTTAATTAAAAATTAAGAAATAAAAATAAAAAATTAAATTAAAAAATTTATATTATATATATATATAAAAAATATCTATATATATATATAAAAATAAAACTTATAAAAAAGCTATGTGATATTTTTGTATACCCAATCTAAATTGTATAAATTTTATCCATTTGTCCCAAACAGCAAGGAACTTCTCTTGCGTTTGTTGCTTTAAGAAAGCCGAAATCTTTGCCATTTCCGCCAGATAAGCTACTTTAAGAAACCATTCCTGCAATGTAGGCAAAGATTCCTTCTTCCAATATTGTCCTACTAACAGCCTAGCGGCTGTAATCAAATTTAACATCAATACAACCTCCTTTGTATCACAATCTGTAACAATGCCTAACAAAAATAATTGCGGAGTAAATTTTACCCTCCTTCTAAAAATTCTCTGGATATTCCACCATATTTTGATCCAAAATGCTTTTATCTCTCTGCATGACCACCAAATATGATAATAAGAAGCATCCTTATAACCACATCTCCAACATTTGGGTTGCACGTCAGGGTACATAAGAGACATTTTTTGTGGATCAAGGTGCCATCTATAAAACATTTTATAAAAATTCTCCCTAAGGTTCTGTGCTTGTGTAAATTTGACATTTCTCACCCAAATGGTTTCCCAAATGTCCAATGAGACTGGGACACCAAAATTCTGCGCCCATCTAA